TACCAACCTACAGCGAGTGTTGACCGTATCTTCGGTGATTCGTTTACTTCAGTTTAAGCTAGCAAGCATATAACTTTGTGTTTGAACAAAAAAATGTTTCTGTTGTCGATTGTTGACGTACTTGCGCGCGCCCCACAGAATGTCCGCGTGCGCATGCGTCGCCTCTTCTCGCCTTGCGTGTATTCTTTGTTTTGAATTTTGGCGCGCGCTTTTTACTGCGTTTATTGTATTTCAATCTTTTCTAATACACGGGCAATACAGATACTGGAAAAAGCTGTGGCGTTATGTGATATTTTGCCATACTTAACATTTCCTTGCCGCGAAAACAGGAAAAACTCTTTTGCATTGTGGGCCACAGGTTCGACAAGAGATTTGACCTTACGTTGCATTGTCTTGTTCAACAGATGGAGAGCGAGCTTGAACGTTTCCACAAACAAAACACGAGCCTGGAATTGAACATCACTGAGCTAAGACTGAAACTTAAGGCCACAGACAAAGAAATGCATATGGAGAGGCAAAGGGTAAGGACAGTTTTGAACTTGGATTGTGTTACTTACTGGTGAGAATCGCATCATTGAATAAAATCTCAGCATTCTGATTGGTTGGCCAAACGAGGTATTCGGCGTGGAATTGCGAGTTGAAAACGAGGCTAAGTGATATTGTTTCGCCTCTACGTATACTTAACAACTATAGGTAATGCTGTTTTTTTTTTTAATTTTTATTTAATTATGCGATTGAAGGAAAATCAGTTATTTAACTCGTGAATTCCGCGTTAAATTGCATTTGAAAACCGATATCGCACTCATCGCTTCGCGATTGGTGCGGTATCGGTTTTCGCATGCAATTTAATCCGGAGTTCCTTCGTCAAGTAATGATTTTTCCTCCAGAATTAACCTGCTGATTCGCTCACTGATCGATATTTGATGATTGCGTTGTATTTATTTTAGGTGCGTGATGTTGAAGCTGTGGTGAAGAGATTCAAGACTGACCTCCACAACTGCGTCGGTTTTGTACAAGAGCCTAAGAAACTCAAAGAAAATGTCAAGGCTTTGCATCAAAAATACGTCCAAGATGATTCGGTAAGGATGGCTAGTTATTTTACTGTCTACTAACATCGAGCAGGTATCAGGTCTGTCTTCTGACCAATCAGATCAATCAGAGAAATATTTAAAAGAGCCAACTAGAACTCGAAGTAAAAACATTTTGCCAAAACGCGGTAGAACATGTAGCCAAGCGTTGAAAAACGTAGAAAGTCTTCAAAACGAAAGGTTGTGCGTTACTCTGCATAACATTTCATTATGTAGTTTGGAAGTACACTTTAAGAGAAAGGTATCTTAGAACAATCCACATATTTCGTTATCCATACTGAATGGCTCAGCTCTAGCTTTTCAAATTCAGTATTGATCACGGAAACTCATCAAAAACTACTCCCATTATCAGCGAGTTTTTGCCCCTATTTTGAAAATTCAACTTGTTAAATTTCAGTACGCTTATATCTTTTCAATTATTTTTTTCCAACTTAAGGTGGACGCCGCCGGTGTGGATGCGGACATTCAAAAAGAATATGCGCGTCAGCGAGAACATCTTGAGAGAAGCGTAGCATCCTTACGAAAGAAGCTTGCTAAAGATTCTGAAATCCACAGGGCGGATAATGTCAGAATTATGCAGGTGAGAAAGTAAAAACTTGTAGACGTCGTACGACTTCTTTTGAAATGTAGCTCACAGAAAACGCAGTTTTGGTGAAGTGTATCTGCTCGTCTTTCATTTGCCACGCGTTTTACACGCGTTTTACACGCGTTCTTTTGCCCTCAAGATAATGGTAGCTGCGTAGCAAGGCTCATGACAGGAATGCAAGTAATACGCACGACGAACACGCGATTACGGTGAAGTGCATGTGCTCGTCTTGAGTTTTTCTGTGCGTTTCACTTTCGTTCTTTTCGCGTTCAAGTTGTCGGTAGCTGCGTAGCAGGCGCGTGGTAAGAATACAGTAGCACACGCGACACGAAGCCCGTGGCTTCTCACGGCTGTTCTTGTTTAAATTGCTCGTGCCCAGTACTACCGTCTTACATCGCTCGTGAACTTTTATGTTAAAAGCCCCTCCGTCTTTTTTTTTTCTTTTGAAATATTGATTGCATAAAATTGTAGAATTATTAAGCTGCCGTAGGGCACATATCACGTGACATTCGATGCATCGCACTTTAGCTGAAGTATCATAAATTTAGATATCGATACTGAGAAAACCTGTTTGCAAATATATCTTGTTTGCACCACTTTCTATCTTGACGCCATCTTTTTTTTCTGTTTTAGGAGAACGTCACTCTCATTAAAGAGATCAATGACCTAAGGCGTGAGCTCAAAATCGCCCGCACTCAAGTTCACGACCTAGAAACCGCATTAGGCGTCATGCGCAAACAACAGCAATTCCCTGAAGACGAGGAAATTGGGAATATGGAGAACAAACGGAAACTGTCCGAGGAAAATCTGGAAATGGAAAAAATGATTGATATGCAGAAGACAGAGATTAGGAAATTGCGAGTTCAAATAAAGGACATGGAGACCGTTATAAATTCCCGTCCGCCCTCTGGCTCCAGACTCCCGCCGGTCGCCGTTGGGTAGGATTTTGATGGAAAGGCTCTTTTACTGCACATCGTGTGTTACATTGCCAAGTTGTCTAGCTACTATTTGGAGTGTGGATCACGAGAGCATCTTTTTCTTGTCTCTTGTAGATAGACACGTACCCAATATAGATGACAACAAAACAATGAACAACCATAACTGTCACGTAACACCTTTTTTTTTTTTTAATCCTAATTGTACATTACTATCCAAAAAAGATGTAAATAAATCTGTATTTTGAACAAGGTTAGCTTATCTGTGTGTTTGGATTTAAAAACTGCCTAATGCGATTTATTTTTGTTGCGATCTACTTTCCAATTTACAGTGGCTGTTAAATGACTTTCGTTCCCCCTTTACAGTTGATTTTGTTCGCGCGCTGTCGATTTACATCTTTCGTAACCTTTCGCGTTACTCTTTTTATTCGTTGCTACGTTACCGTTTGAGTATGCTACTGCGTCAGTTTTCTGTTCAGTGGTACTTAACCTTTGCGTTCTCCTCTGTTGCATTTTACCTTTACTATTAGGTTTTTATTGCGTTCTTATTACGCTCCTAGTTATGAAAGTAGCTATCACGATCCAGTTGCGTTTTTCTTGCGTTTTTAAGTTCGTTTTGTCTGTTATGTACTCCTCTAACCTGCATTAATGACAGCTAGTGTCCTTGACAAGAGTGGGGAGTTTTCACCCCTCACCTCTCATCGAAATGATCTCACACCATCTTACACACTGGTAAATACGGTGTTGGACCCGTTTTGGGACTGTTTGAATTCTGAAACGGCTGCTTTTTATCACAGACACGAAGGAGGAAATTTGCTCTTCAAATCACACTAAAAAGTTGCAAAGCAAGAAGTGTCGATTAAGGCTTGCAGATGTTGTTCCACTGTTCCTTAATTCCTCTTTTTGTTCCAATTTTCCTCTGATATCGACACGATTTAGACCTCAAGGAACAACGAACAATTTCTAGAAAGTTTATCGGAGCAAGCCACCACCTGTACGGATGGGGGCCTATTTTTGGCATCTTGTATTACAACCCAATATGCCCTTGCGAGTGTTGTTAGTATCTAATATTGGATCGTTGGATGAGGTAATTCGCAAACTGTCTTATCTATAGATAAAGGAAAGCTTACCATCCTTTTCATTTAAAGCTAAAGTGGAGAGAAAACGTTAAAAACTAAAGCTAAGCTTCCATGCTCGTCGATGATCCCTTTTTTGTGCCTTAAAGTGCCGTTTCACTTTTGTCCTCTATTTTGGCCGTTTTTTTTTTTTTTTTTTATTCGAGTTGCTCCATCTCCTTCCCTCTCTGCCCCTAACGATCAATCTACACTACAGTTGGATAATACAGTTGGACAGTTGGATAATTCGAACTCGGATAATTCGAAGTCCCCGCTAATTCGAAGTAAAATTCATTTCCCTTGGTTTTGCCCCACTTTTCTCAGTCATTTTACCTCGGATAATTCGAAGTCCCCGCTAATTCGAAGTAATTTCTGTTCCGTTAGGTCGGATTTTACCCCGAAAATATGAAGTTAAGTTACCAGCTGAATGAAAAAGAACAGACGCCGTCGGAAATTAGAATATATATTTATGTAATAACAGTTTCGAACATTTCACAGCTCGTTAATTCCTTTATAATTGTGTAAAACAGTTCTCTGTGCATAAATCCCTTTACTGTATGTGCGGTGCTGTATAAAAGTTATTAACATGTCGATGTGATGAAAATCCATGTGCCTAAAGAGTTGACGAAAAATCCAAGTTTAGTCTTTCAGCTTTGTGAACTCTCTTTCAAGAATACTGACGTATTTCTTCTCTCCTTCAAACAAAAGTTTGCAGGGCACTTGCATCCTTTCACCGTCGCCAAGATTAACAGGCCTGCCTGTCACAATAACAGTGCATGAATTTCTATTATCCACTCTCAGAAAATAAAAGATTGTCTTAGCGAATCGTCAACTCTTTCTCTTCTTCAGATATCCAACAATGGTTTCTTGATCTTGCATCACACATACGGCATATTTGTCCACTGGGTTATCGGGCTCTCTTCTGGTTGAGAGTTTTTCATTCACTGTTGGTTTCCAGATTTCCTGGTAGTCGTGATATCCCTTTATGTAGGAGTTAGTTTGAAGCGAAGCAACATTCCTTGGGCAAACCATTATTTAAGCAGAGCTTGATTTAGTAAATTCAAAGCCGGTATCTAGCAGTTGAGTGCATGCGTCTCGATATGAGTAAACAATACGCGCTAAATCACACTTTTAGCGTGCCGCCAAATACGACATCCAAAACCCATGGATCAAGGTGTTATACGGTCAACCAAAACCCACTACAGGTCTGGTTGTGTGCGCAAATTTATTGAAGCGATCGACAAGAACAAGCCAATGCCAAAAATTACCGTTCTTGATGCAATGGTTCCTTCTGACACATGCCTGGAGCACGGTTTCAAGGGATACTATTCGCAACTGTTTTAGGAAGGGAGGGATCTGGGGCAAAGAGCAACAAAGCGCAATCGCTGACGAAGATGACCCATTTAAAATCCTAGAAGAAGATTTCGATGCATTGAGACAGAAAGACGCGGAACTGGCACCGACAGAAGTAAGAGCTGAAGATGTCATTGAGGCAGATGACGGAGTTATGACATTGGAAATTGCGCCGTTAAGTGATGAAGAATTATTTGAAGAATTCAGAGAACGTAACAGCACAGCGATGGAAGTAGACGATGATAATGACGATGATGACTCCGAGGAGAGACCACAGAAGCCAACAAGAGCACAAATAACCGAGGCTATCAACACGCTTTCGTCCTATAATCTGTTTGCTGCAGATGGAGCTGACAAGATTCGTCGAAGCATGAATCAGATCGCATACATCATCGAGAAAAACATTCGCAAATCTCAGAGGCAGCTCGCTTTTTAGGCTAAGCACTTTTTATATTGGTCACTGTTCTGCTTTTTGTTTGTTCTTATGAAATTAAAAAAAAAACTGTTTTGTTGATGAAAACATTTGAAATACGTTCAGGGATTACAAACTGTTCACTAATATCGCGAAAATAGGGTAAATAAAGTTATGCAGGGGTAAAAATTGCGTATTTATTTTCCTTATTAAAACTGATTGATCACCAGATATCCAGATTACATTTCGTGATTGTCGCGTGCACTTTATCCTTTTTTCCAATAACCCTTTCTGCAAACAGCTGTATGCAATCACCCACAGATAAACGTCAACCAGCTTTTTTAAAACCTGGGCACACACGCACATGTTTCATCAAAAACTGACCTACTTTAACTTGATCTGCCTCCTTTACTTTGCTCTCGTTTATTACTATCCATTGTCGTTTCTTTTCATAGCATTATTACCTGATGAGCAACACAAAAATAATCTCATTAGCAAAGGACAACCAGTAAAGATCACAACAGTGAAAAAGTAACGTCTGAACAACTCAGCCACGGTTTCGTTCAGTAGATTTTTATAGTTCCTCCGTGATGTAGTTACACACTACCACTCACGTGTACCCCGCCGCGTATTTCACGCGCTACACACGAGAACACTCTGCACATCAATACACGCATCTGTGTTTTTTTAAATATACACACACGTTCTTGGAAATCAGTCAACTACTGAGAACTCACTAAGTGCGCGTACTGAGACAAACATGCGTGTAACACGACAAAGAGATTGGATTCGTAATTCTTCATAACATTTCCGACGATTATGAGCGAGTCACTGCACTAAATTGTTTTTCTTTGCGACGTGGCCGCATTGTTGTTCTTATATATAGTTTGCAATTTACATCACAGATACTAAATGCTATGAATGTGGCCTTTAGAAAACAATGCAGTCAGCAACGGCGTTGATCATGAGATATCAATTTCTGTATTCAACACATCCCAAATTTAGCAAGCAATCCACATACTAAACTGAATTTTTAGAATTTGAATAACATATTTTAAAAATGTTCGAAAGTCTAATTACCACATCTTAAGGGCGCGTACACTTGCCAACTTTTATTCTAAGGTTTCCCCCATTCAGAGTGAAAATTTGCTTTGACAATAGAAATTAGTCAAACTTGCTGATCTTACGAGTATCGCTAATAGTTCATTTTAAAGTTGCGTACTTAGTTGCCAAGCTTTTAAACAGGAGTAAGGCTAAGGGTGACCAGCTTGTTATGATACAAACGTCGCTCCTTTTCAAATGTAAATTACTTTGTTATCTTGCTAACTAGATACTGGTCTCTATCACAACAAAGTCACCTTCAGCCTCACTCCAAATCAAAGGGTTGGCAACCAAATACACAACTGTAAAATGGTCTTTTGCTCTAGTTGGAACGATGGAGTTGTTGTGGTAGTTCCCCACCTTCTCCCACATTTCAGCTTTTTTATAACCCATTCACAGATGAGCGTCAGGTAGATTTATTAAACCTAGACTTACAACTGTAACAAGTAATCATAAAAGGACCTGCATGAATTAGCTGTACCTATCTCCATGACTTGTTACTGATACAGTGACATTTCTTTATACCGCATCATTTCCTAATGAGTGATACACAAAAACTTCAAATGCAGCGCTTTACGCACAACGTTTACGTATCATTCCGAAGGGGTGAAGGGAAAGGAATTATCCCGTTTCGTGTCAAGTTACCAGCCGAGGGATTAGCAGATACATTTAACTGTTAAAGTCTATACCCACAATCGGCGACAAAATTGTTGACACATTGACCTTTTCAACCCTGTATTTCGTCCGTTTTATCTCTTTTGCCTCTGTTAATCTAACCTACTCGCCACTTTTTCCCAAAAAGATTTTGTATCGTGATGCCATAAACTTTTAGCCACCTACAGGCAACATTGGATTTGGGAGACGGGTCTTGCAAATGATGTAGAGTGTGTTAGAAACAGGAATGTTTTTCTTCACCTAAATAGAACTCTTCAAACATGACGCTGATTGCAGGTAACTGGTAGTTACATTATAAAATAACCAAAGTAAAGCGCGCGCTCTGATTGGTCAATTCAGCGTCCCCCATTTGCCCATGGGTGTACGCTGCTGACGTGAGCAAATGCAAAGACAATTCTTCCGCGCGCGCTTGTATTTTCCGGTCACGTAAGATTTGTTAAAAAGGGAACTCTTTAGCTACAATGTATCAATGTTATGTTATAAAACAAATGGTAAACACCACAGCGTACACTATTGAGATATGGATCCACTTGGGAGGTTTGCTAAGCACTCAAGAAGCTAGAGTCGCTCTCGGCTATCGCCTCGAGCGACTCTTACGCTTCTTTCGTGCTTAGCAACCTCCCGCGTGCATCCATAACTCAATAGTGTACGCTGTGGTGTTTACCATTTGTTAAACATTCATTCAGATACGAGATGAATATATCACAGGTTGAGCTGAAGTTTGTCAGCGCTTCACTCTGAAATAAACTTCTGCGATTACTGTTAGACTGTCAGTTTAGTTTTCTTCCAAGTGGATGAACAAAAAGCTGCGCTCAAAAAATGGTTCAAAACTTATTTCGAAGTCAAAAGAATGAAATTGTGTAACTTACTTGAGTTTAGAGAAGACTACACTTCGCTCACTTTACAGCTTGATTCAGTTCGCTTGTCGTTGGTGGTTATAACACTCGTCTGATGATCGTTAGGGACTGAAAAACGAATCGTCAAGACATAGCAACATTGCAACTTAAAGCATTAGATGTTATAAGCGTTCGGGACTTGTAAGGCGACGATTTTTCTGACAAAAAAACTGTACGTTGTGGCGAGTAACTTTAAATCAAGCAGCCATGCAAAGTTCTGAGTTCCACGTGTGAAAGTACGGACTCAACAGTAATGAATAATCAATGAGTGGAAAGATATTTGCAATTCAAGTCGAACACCATTAGCGTCCATCAGTATTCAAAGTGATAATGAGAGGGTTTGATTTCAACAGGTGAAAAATTTTCTTTTTATCTTTGTTGTTACCCGCAAATGAAACTAAATAAAAGGAGGGTATTTCATTTTTTAAAAACATTAAGACAGCTCTTATCCTCTTTTCTTGTCAAATGGCAACAGTTAGTGGCGCGGTCGTCAAACATGACGAGGGGCAGGGGGGGGGGTACGCTGATAGAACGAGTAAAAGAAGTCTTTTTTTCCGACCACAGGGATTTGACAGGATTTTGCGCGCACTTGAAAAAAGTGCGGGAGACTGGCACTTGCCAATAATCGGAGCTACAGACTTAAATCCCAATCGTTGCCTTCAGTTCAAACTCCAACTCAGAAAAGACAGAATTTTTATTAAAATTCTGAAGTCCAAATAAGTGAACAAATACTTTAAGATAGGAAAATACATAAAAGTTGAGAAAAAGTGATATGCGATCCTTTCGTTGGAAGAAATTTTGCTTCAGACAATGAGTAAAACTTATACTCGCAGATCTGACGGTGGGGAAGGGGGAGGGGAGTCCAGACCCCTGGACCCTGCCACTAGATTTCGGACCTCAGGAGAGTGGTCACAGATCCTATCTCATATCAAATTGATCATCACTGATACAGTATTTTCAGAAAAATTCCGAGCAGCACAGCATATTGTTGGAGCCTGAATTAACTCGCCTATTTTCCTTTTCTCAAGCAATGATCAAGTCAGACATTCAAAATCTGAGCAACTTCATTGAAAATAACTGCTGGGCAAACAATTTGCATTTCTCTCCTTTTTTATTCAAAAGTTCTCAGACTCCTTTTGAGGTTATTCGAGGTATACTTCTTGAAAGACATTTCGCTTTCCTGATGAAAGATTCTAACAAATACTGAATGCAGACCTAAAACTGTTGTGTACTTCGCAAATGACCACTCGAATTCTACTCATCAGAAGCCCAAGTAATTGAAATTTTTTGAATTGTATTAGTGACACTTTGCTGAAGTAAAAAGTTTTCCGCATAAAAGTGAAAACCACGCCCGCCCCTCTGCGGGTGTGAAATAGTAAGCTTAAGAAAATACAGTTGACTTTTTTAAGACTCCAACTCTCGATAACTAATTGTTTCCCTTCTTGTTCTTTGATTGTTAGTGTTCCCCTTCACAAATCCGACACTTTTTGTTTAGCCTTGAAAGTTTGAGTCAACGAGTGTCAACTCTAGTTCACTTGCAATTGGTAGACAAAGAATTTTCAAGAAGCTTTCACAAAATGACTCCTCACCCCTTAAAGAAAAAGTATATAGACAACCTCTCTCAGTAAAAGTCTTTAATACTGAAGTAAATTTTCATAAATGCAATTACAACAAATCGATTACTCTAACTAAAAATTTGTGAACACATTTAAGAACAATTTTCAATTGAACGCGTAACGCAATCTGAGATTTCTTTGGCTTAGCTTGATTTCATTCTGTGTTTGTTCTATACAAATCTAGCCAGTCGATCGCTTCCTTTGTGCTGCTGTTGTTGTTGTTTTTTTTTTTACAACACACAGTCGAGAGGCGCTCTCACGCAAAACCCTAAAGAAAACCAAAAAACCGACACGTTCCTTAAATAAAAATTTATTCGTTTTAAATCCTAACGTTTTGTAAAAAGTGATCGGTTAAATCGCATCCAAAAACATTGATCTTCGTGAATCGGTGCTACAAAATAGTACCCACCATTAGTCTTAAATATCTAACTTGATAAAAATTTGAATAATTTTGGAGTCCACTACGTGACTGATACATCTCGGTACGAACAGGCAGGTTGAATCTATGTTATGTTTAATTTTTAGTTTCTTCTTTATTTATGGTTTTTGTTTTTGTTTTTGTTTCCGTTTGTTTGTTTGCTTTTTGTTTGTTTTTTGTTTCCCTACACCAGAAAAATGTTACTCTAAAGTTTCAATATATTTTCCAAGTATTAACTGGGTCAGAAGAAATCATTTACAACACCGTAAGGGAAACTTTAAAAGTGCCAAACTGTCAATTTGAAAGATCAGCGATCTGTATCCACTTCGTACAAGAACCCAGTACCAGGCATCAGAACCCTGTTATACGAAGTACTCTGCACAAAAACCCGCCATTTGTCAAACGACGTGGGCTTGATTTTATTTGCTCCTCCCGCTCCGATCATTGCGCATGCTTCAGGCCCAGTGAATATGTCTCCGGAGGCCTTGTCTACCAAAACGACTTCCTTCTTGTCCGAGATTTTTTCTGGCTTCGTGAACTCGTAAAACCCACGTCCTGTCTTAAAAGGAAGGTCGTTCTTCTCGACGAAAGTGCGGATGTCGCCGCGTTCTTCGACTTCCAAGATCTAGCAAAGAAAAACGTACGGAGTGAGCTGTCTGAGCCACTTCAGCAATTATCACGTTATTATATCTCTCAGTTACTACGTGCGCTATAATTGGTCAATTTAGAGGGCCGTATTTTTCTGCACGGTCCGCTAAATTTCCAAGTTTGTTTGAATTGAGATGTTCCCCTCTATTTAACCCCAGAGATATAATAAAACAATAGAGTTTATGTTCGCGGGCCGGACATAGTGTAGAAAATCTCTTTCGTTTTCTTAATTCGCTTTTTGCCTTCCTCTCCCCCCTTCGTGTTGTTTTTGTACTCACGCGTGGCGCACGTGATTTAGGAAATGAACCAATCATGTAAAAGAACTTTAACCTTGACATTGGAAACTGACGGGGACATTTCTCGCGCGTATCTTTGTTGTTTTGTTTTTTTACGGAGTTAGTTTGGTCGTTCTTTTTGAGATTTCGTTCACGCCAATTTGTCGTCCCTCAGTATGGAATTTTACGAAGTTTTTGGAGTTTTTATGTAGCCGAGTGTTTTGGTTATTTTAGCAAATTAATACATAGTTTGTACGGAGTAGCCTCGTTATTGGATTTTTTACACCCAGACTCAGTTTGGCCCAAGCTAAGGGTTAAAATGACTCTGAAGAGGGCACAAAACACATTTATGCCCAAGGACATAAACGGTATTACTATTATTCACTTTGGAGGGCATTGAGAATAAAAAAAATTGAAAGAAAAAAAAAACCACAACAAAACAGTCTGAACAATCACGCGAGCGAGCAAGCGGGCTAAAATACATTTTAAGGGTGTACTAACTGGGCGTGATTCCACGATTGATTACGAAGTATGTCAACAACAACAACAGGCGGTCGGAGCTCGCCAGAGAGATATATCGTCATTTTAAACAAACTTTTTAAGTTCCTTTAGCAGTGGTTAATAATGGTCACTGACTCTCACATAAGCATACTGATCGACCAATGAATGCACGCCTACTATCTTAAATATCCTAGTTATTTCTATCTAACAGAGTTTTCTGTGTTGCAGTGAGAAGTATGTTCTGAGAGTGCAGATGTAGTAAAGGTAGAAATCAGACTAAGTGTTCTCGCACTATGACATCAATTACCTGAAATCGAGACGGATTGACCGGTTCCAGTCCCCCATGATCACTTCCGCCTTTGTAGGTACTGGTGCTTCTTCCAGCTAGAGTGTCAAACAAGGCATGCAAGTTACGATTCAGTCCGGAGCCCTTTGACCTTGACTTGACCTCTGCCTCGTAAGCTTCCAGTTGCTCCACGCCCTGCTCTCGATAGCAAATGGCCGTTAGGAAATCGACGATAGAAGCGAACTGATCTAGTTTCAAGTGCCAACCACAGGTAAACTCAGCGATTTTACGATAAAAGGTGTCCGAGCCGCTATAGTTAAGACATTGGACAGAGTATATCCGCACGCCCATCTCTTTGTAGAGTTTCTTAGCTTCTTCTCTCCAGTCAATTTTCAGTGTGTTCAAGTGGTACGAAGGGGGGTGGGGTGAGGCGTCGCCTATCATCACTAACGACCGTTGGGAGTCTGGTGTCCAAGACAGCTCCTCACGAACCTTAGATCGGAACAAAAGAGTTGAATGAGAACTGCATGCAAAAGAGGAAAGGGGAAAGGAAATTTTTCGGATTTTTTTAAACTTTAAGAGCAGTACCGACCATGGTACTTGCATTAGTTTCAGTCCAGCTACATCTGCAATATTCAACAGTTTCTTTCTTTTCTTATCCCTTTTGATTGTTTTTTTCTTTTTGTCTTTGTAGACATAGACACAAACTGTTGAATGGATTGGAATGGTGTAGCTAAACAAGCAGTGACTATATTTTCCTTTGTATTTTTCCAGTTGTACACATTTAATAGCCCATTCCTGAATTACCGTTGACCTCTTTTCCAAACTGAGTCCTGGTGCTCATTCTTTCTAGTGATTATAAGTTTTCATTCACATGCAAATTAAACTAGTTTTCAGACAAATGGTTGAGCATCTGAGCCCTCATTTTGAAAAAGAGGCGAAAGGTAATTGGAGAATGGCCTTTTAAAAAAGGGGTAAAAATCTAATGATCAAACATATAACCATCTATGCCGAAAAAAAGGCCACTCACCTGTTTAAGAACAAGTTCATAGCATTCATCTGAATCATAGCCAGATGTTGACGATACATTTTTGATAAAGTTACATATTTTCTTTTTGTCTGTACTGAAGTCTACCCATTTCGTGTCATAAGTTGATTCTTTATCCTGGTAGTCCCCATGTGCAAATACTGCGATGCGGATTCCGGGAATTTCTCTGAAGAGGCGAGTGACTGTTTCTTCTACCTTCTTTCTGACCTGGAGTACCAAACAAGTGAGTTTTGAAACTAAAGTATCGGCAGAGCAAACAGTGAACAGTATAGTTTGTTAGGAATAATTGTGATTGGACTAGGTGGAGTCCAATTCAGTCTGTAATCTTTTAAGTGATAACTAAATTGGATGACCGGGAAGCAGGAGTCAGATTTGTCAATCTTAAGTATGATTACAGACCGAATTGGACAACACAAGGTCCTGTTACCAATCAATCATAACCATTACAATTTCTGAAAAAAAAACACAAATACATTATTTGGGAAAATATCTCCGGTAGAAATATCGTCTAAAGTAAAACATTCCTCCCCTTTGGAATTTCCCAAGTTTTGTAGGGTAAGTGGTTGTTGCTATGGTTATTGTAATCAATTCTGTGATTGGTGGATTTAGCTGAGTGGACTTAGTATGACTGGCTGCTTCAATTGTCTGATTACAGGTGTACAATCACAGCCAACTGTTCAATTACACTGTGCAATTACAGAATTGATTAGTACATTTTAAGATAATGTTTATTGTATAACTACTGTGTCAGCAATTAGCACCTTGCTAGTCAGGAGTTAGATCCCTAACAGACACATAAATAAAGTTTCATCATCATCATCATCATCAATAATTAGCTAAAAACGGTGGCTAATACACTACTCATATTGGAGGAAATTGCAATGGTTATTGTCAGTGTGGTAAGCCTTGATCTGGCTTGACTGTTTGAGTGACACTGCATTCCTTCAGATTATCAAGTGATTCTTATATGGGGCTCTCTCCTGAGTAAATCACTGTGGTGAGTTGAAAACTCAACCCTGGCTGGCTATTACATTATGTTCTACTCTAGGAATTTCCCTTCTTCAAGCACCTTGGAATGCTTGTAAAACCTCCTCCACACAAATATCTCGATGACACAGATTTGAAATTTACAACTGCTCTGACTGGTGATTCTGCTATGACCGGCTGAAGGAAGTTCCCGGTCACAAA